TGATACGGACGCTAGTGGTGTTGGGCTAGGGGCCATACTGGCCCAACGCAAGAAGGGCTTTGACGAGTACGTCGTTGCCTATGCCAGCCGCACCCTCAGTAAAGCCGAGAGGAATTACTGTGTAACTGAAAAGGAGTGCCTCGCCATTATTTGGGCAATCGGAAAATTTCGGCCTTATTTATATGGACGTCCGTTTGATATTGTAACAGACCACCATGCGCTTTGCTGGTTATCTTCACTAAAAGATCCTAATGGTCGGCTTGCTCGTTGGGAATTGCGGTTACAGGAGTTCGATATCCGTGTTATCTACCGTTCTGGCCGGAAGCATTCCGACGCCGATGCCCTGTCAAGTTCGCCATTGGCTTCAGAGCCTGTCGGCTCGCCTATCTCCACTAGTGCTGCCTTGGCCATCAGCATCTCGGACATGCCTTCCGAGCAACGCAAAGATGCTTGGATTTCATCTCTTTTGGTTTTTCTCTCAAACCGGACGCCCGCTCGAGTTTCCAGGACGCTTCGCCGTCAAGCAGGACACTTCGCTATTCGGGATAACCTGCTTTACCGCCGAAACTACAGCTCGATCGGCCGTAAGTGGTTGCTCGCCATCCCCCGACATCTGCGCTCTGACATCTGTGCCATGTTCCACGATGACCCACAATGTGGCCACGTTGGTGTGTTAAAAACATACACCCGCTTGCAGCTGCGGTACTACTGGCGCGGTATGTACCGTTGGGTTCGCCGTTACGTAAGGTCTTGCCTTACGTGCCAGCGACGCAAAATGCCCACTCAACATGCCACAGGTCCTTTGCAGCCGTTGCCATGTCCAGCACGAGCTTTCGATCGTGTCGGAATCGACCTTTACGGTCCGCTTCCCTATACATCGAGTAGCAACCGCTGGGTCATTGTCGCTATCGACCACCTAACGCGGTACGCTGAAACAGCTGCGTTACCTTCTGCTACCGCAAAAAACGTTGCATGTTTTATACTGCAGAACCTGGTTTTAAGGCATGGAGCTCCTCGGGAGTTACTAAGCGACCGTGGCCGCGTTTTTCTCTCCGATGCCATCAAAGCGTTGTTGAGCGAGTGTCGCATCATACACCGCACTACCACAGCCTATCACCCGCAAACTAATGGGATGACAGAGCGTTTTAATTGTACACTTGGGGATATGCTGGCCAAGTACGCTTCATCCGACCAGTCAAATTGGGATAGCATACTCCCTTTTGTGACGTATGCTTACAACACTGCAACGCAAAGCACCACTGGATTTTCGCTTTTCTTCCTTCTTTACGAACGCGAGCCATCATCAACAATGGATACCATTCTTCCTTATCGACCGGACCCTTCAGAGATGACTACCGTTTCTCGAGAAGCAGCACACGCTGAAGAATGTCGGAAGCTTGCTCGTGCGTTCACGTCACATGACCAGACGCGCCAAAAACATCGCCCCGACACGTCAACCACGCATATGAGCTTTGCTCCGAACTCACTGGTGTGGCTATGGATTCCTTCTACTACTCCAGGACTCTCCCACAAGCTTTCGTCCAGGTACCATGGCCCTTATCGAGTTGTGCGCCAAACATCCCCTGTCAACTACCTTGTCGAGCCGCTGGATGCATCTCCGGACAAGCGCCGTCGGGGAAAAGAAATCGTACACATCTCTCGGCTCAAGCCATACCATGACCCTTTGGTCTACACCTGTCCTTAGGTCGCCAGGATGGCTCCCTCATCGGCCGGGGGTGATTGTAACGAGGGTAGTGGGCATGGAGCTCGAGGATAGAAAAACAAGAAGACTTGCTGTGATCGCAGGCTTGCGTTCAGTTAGCCCTTGCGCTAAATAAAGCTCTCCTTTGCCGAGTTCGCCTGCTTGTTCAACAACCCGTTTCAATACATACATACATACATACATACATACATACATACATACATACATACATACATACATACATACATAAATACATACATACACAATTCGTAAGGGAGTGTCCATTTTCGGTTGTCGTAAAACAAATAGAAAAAAATGCACGCTTTTAAGAAACTGTGTTGTTACGTTTGGATTGCAGACCGATCTTGATGCAAATAAGTCTCCTACCCAAATGCTGGCTTGTGAACAGTTTTTAAGAAGCCTGTACAATTATATACGCACAAATCACAAACCTCTGCATGACTGCTTATATTCATGTTGCTGATCTACAACATGTGAACTAGACTTTTAAGCACAACATCTACTGATAGCTAATTGCGATATCTATGTTGCGCAGTTTGAAGCTCTCTGAACGTCTTAATTTGCAACAGTAACTTCAATGGCAATGTCTGCTTCGCCTAGACCGAACGCACACGTCAGCGTTTCTCATGAGTGTTCAAACGATAATTTCGCAACAGATGCGAGCGTGTAGGTGCGGTTACAAACTTCTGAAATTGTTTAAGGGAATGTAAGGTTCCAGATCACCTATTGCGAGAATTCATGTTTTTTTTCGCCAAATCAACAGCAGAGGCAGTCCAAGTGATTTTCTGATGCCGCCTTCTTCCATGTAACATACGAATTGAGGACAACACACGGAGTGCCTTATGCTACATGTGCTAGTGAACGAGTGCGAAGAGCGCCAACTATCGGGGATCAAGCGGAAAGAAAGCGCGCCGAAAAGCACATAAGCGCAATGCTGCAGGTTGTGGAAGTCACGTCTATAGCACGGTTGCTGTCTCTGGAACACGTGTTGCGCATCAGTGATGGGCGTGGCACAATCTACCAGTTCAAAAGGAGCCACTGACTCGTCATTCAGATGGCTCGTGACGGGCTGATGTGCGTGACTGCAGTGCGTGCCCCGCGAAAGCGTAGCTTAGTGGGCAGTATTGCGTCCCTTGTGTCTCATAGATAGATAGATAGATAGATAGATAGATAGATAGATAGATAGATAGATAGATAAATAGATAGATAGATAGACAGATAGATAGAAAGACAGACAGACAGACAGACAGACAGACAGATAGATAGATAGATAGATAGATAGATAGATAGATAGATAGATAGATAGATAGATAGATAGATAGATAGACAGACAGATAGATATGTGGGGTTTAACATCCCAAAACCACCACATGATTACGAGAGACGCCGTTGTGGAGGGCTCCGGCCGATGAGTTTCATGTAATTCAAGTTGCTACTTTAATGTTCCCTCACTAAAAAGCATTTAAGGCTTTCTTCTGCAACTTCTATTCTTCAGGCACACGGCCTGAACAGTTTATATGGCACCCAACGGGATTTTGACGTCCGCTGCCAGCAAGACGAAACTAGCGTTTCGAGGGCTTCAGGAGGCAATCAAGCGGCTGCACAAGTTCACGGAGGCCTGCTTTGAGGGAAAAGAAATTTTGGTCCCTACAGTGACCAAAAGACGATGGGCAGTGCTGTTCGCTCAGGAAACGGTCGCGCCGGCAAAGGACCACGGAGACTACGATAAGAAGGCGTTCGGTGAAGGTAGGAAAGAAGAGGCCAGCGATGTAGAGGATCTGAACGAGAGTGAAGTCAAAATCAAAGGGCACAGCAAAGAAGCCAGTCGTGAGGTGGAAGTTTCTGTGATTGCACATGCTGCAAACGCAAATTACGAGGCCGAGGAAATCTGTGTCGTGCACAATACAGGCTACCGCAACGTACACGTCAATACAAGGCAGCTGAGGTGAAAGCCGATTCAACTATTCGTACGCCGGAATGTGGCACGAGTGTGTTTACGCCAAGACGCAGGCCACATAAAATGCTTGCAACAGCAGCTGTGGCGGAGGCCACGGAAGAAGTACCTGAGGGTTGTACAGCAGAACCCAGGGAGGCTGCGGCGTGTAATACGAAGCCTACTTGCAATGCTGCAGTGACGACCGGGCGGGCCGCTATGAACAACAAACCTTTTGCAAAGCTTCAGCTGATGGATGTGGCCAACGCAACGCGAACAAGCTACCGTACAGCGCAGTTCTAAGATTATGATCCTGGCGGCTCCTTGCGGGAATCTTAAGATAAAGTAAAGTTTGCCTTGCCGGCAGCTACGGAGAGTGCAGCTGCTGTGAACAAGGCTGAGAGTAGCCTCACAAAATCAAGGCCGCCGGCACAGAGACTCGCCTCGCAGACTAGCGTGACATCATCGGTGATACCGGCGTCAGGAGCAAGATTCGCATCGACAGGGATCATGGCAAGACTGACGCCATAGAAGACGAGATAGATGCTCACGCTGAGCGAGCCCTTTTTTCACAGGGGTAAAATGTGGGAGTCACGGCGATTGTGCGGCAGCGGCCACTGCAACACGTGCTGCGCAACAGCGATGCGCATGCCACAATCGGGCAGTTGGTGACTGACTGGTGTGCGTGCCTGCGGTGTGCCCCGCCGAGGCGTAGCTTAGTGAGCAGTGTCGCCGCCCGTTTCTTTCATGTAATTGAAGTTGCGATTATAATGTTCGCCCACTAATGAATCTTCGAGCTTTTTTCTGTGGTTTCCGATCTTCGGGGCAGGCGGCCTGAACATTTCAAAGTGTAAGCTTGCATCGGGTGGCCCATCAAAGGGGACGAGGGTCCGTCACAGCGCTCCCCTCCCTGGTAGGACAACGTATGTAGTTGACATTGCGCCGCCCATATCATAGGCAACTAGGGGGATGACACCCCTTCGCTTCTCGTGGACACGGTTGGGGGGGGGGGCACTACAATATGGCATAGAGGACGCAAATGGGAAAGCTAGACAAAAACAAGTTGCAGAAATGAGAACGCTTGTAGTTCTGCACGTAAAAATATTTTCACAAAATTACTCTGGCAGATGGTGTATGTGTTCTCGGCTTTTGATACAAAACTGTTCGAAGCCTTTTAGCTGTCCTCCTCAACTTTTTCGCAACTGTTACCTTGAAAAATTGTGAAGACCACATGTCGACAGTGGGGGTGCGTTTTAGACACGAAAGTTTCGGAATCAATCTTTCAATTATTGGCATGTTTTTTTAACATTTTCACTGTTTACTGACGTAAATTGTCTTACCTACCTTTGTGAAGGGGTGATTAGGGTGATGTTCACACTTCGTGAAGTGTTAGTGCTGTTTTCGGGACAGTAGTCGAGGCTGACCGGCATCCTCTGCTCCCGGTTACCGCCTTGTATGCTGTAGGTTAGGTGGAAAACCTGGTAGATGACCATAAGCAAAGTCGCAATGCCAGCTCCCTGCGTGCAAGTCGGTTTAAATTACTACCATAAAAATATCGTGTAAACATGTTAGCTCTCATGCCCAATCTCATCCGGCTTTTTGTGTGATAGATGAAGTATTGAGAGTTCAGCAAAGCGCCTGCTTAGCCTACCCTCTTCAACACATCGAAATACTTGTAAGTGAAACAGGCACAGATATCCTTATTATGATCACCGTCACCAGCAGAAGCGGCAACCCTGACTCACTTGCTGCGGAGTAAAAGCCTCTATTATGTTCCATAATCAGCTCGGTCATGTACTTCCTGCTACCATGTTGCACCCACAAATCTTAATCTCGTCGGCTTACTTACCCTTCTTTCTCCCCCTCTTGCTTCTTTGAGAATCCATCCAGTTAACATTATTTACCAGTGATCATCTTGTCTACGCATTACGTGCCCGACCCATGTCTATTTATTCTTCATTTCAACTAAGCTGCATCTTGCCAGTACTTACAGAGCAGAAACCTGGAGGCTTACCAAGAGGGATCAGCTTGAATTGTGGACGACGCAGGGAGTGATGGAATGGACAAGGATAGGTGTAACCTTAAAAGACAAGAAGATAGCAGAGTGGGCCCGAGAACAAACTGGGATTAAGGCTATCATTGTCGAAATCAAGAAAAAGGAATAGACAAGGGCCGGACACGTAGCATGTAGGCAGGATAACCGGTGGTCATTAAGGGTAACTGACTCGATTCCCAGAGAAGGCAAATGCACAAAGGGAGAGAGAAAATTAGGTGGGCCGATGAGATTGAAAGTTTGCTGGTATAACGTGGCAACGGAAAGCACAAGACCGGGTTCATTGGCAGATCATGGCACGGGCCTTTGCCCTGCAGTGGGCGTAGTCAGACTGATAATGATGATAGTTAACACACACTGTGCTCTCTTCGTGTCTCTTAAAGTCACACCTATAAGTTTCCTTCAACGACGTTCACAATGCTTTTATTTTTATTTGGAAGAACAGAAAAAGTGTTATGAACGTTCTCAAAGTTGCACTTAAAGAAACTTCAGATGAGGAGTCACTAGTCATGGAGTTTATTGAAGTAAACATAACAAGAATGCGGCTCCCTCACCCAAACGACCATTCAAAGTGTTATATGAAGAAGATAGGAATAAAAATTACTGATAGCAGCGATAAAAACGCACAACGCAGAAAACAAGCTTGCTCCTAGGATCTACTTTTTTCTGGGAGGCGATCACAGAAAGCGTGAAAAAACTTAATTACCACACGATGCTATCGAAATCATTCGGGTTTACATTGTACAGTCTGTTTCACATTTAGGGGAAATCTCGGAGCGCATGGCATCTAGGTGCGACCACCGCTGCAGTCACATGGCGGCAGCAGCTTATGCATCACCAGGGGCTTCAGGAGCGTAGTGTTGAACCTCATTGTCTACTGTAACAGTGGCGCGCGCGCTGTTCACGTTATCGGGTAGCCTGCTGATTTCATCGTTGCTCTAAGAACAAGGCTGATATTCCTTACTAAACGTAGTGTGATACCAACATAGCGGCCTTCCTTGGCGATGGGGGTTCTAGAAACAGTGCTTCACAGCATACGTTGTTTCATCTTTTCAAACGCCGTGGCAGCGAGTACTATCACGTATAATATTGCGATAGCAATTACACAGACACTCTCAGCTGCACTTTGCCGCCAGCGTCACTGTCACTAAACGTATATGTATACGTATTTATATATATATATGTATATGAAAACACGAGAAAAAAGTGCAAAAAAGCTTGGACGTGCGGAGTACTGCGTTTCAAAGTGCAAACGTTTCCACTCCCGAAACGCAAACGGCAAGATATTTTTATCTACCCCTTACCGCTGGTGACAGCGTTCTCGGAGGGGGGGGGGGAGGGCTATTGTGTTTTCAGCAATACGTCCAATATGGCGCAATGAGCGCGCGTCGCTACATCGTCATGACGTGGCGGCGCGGGCTCTCGTCTTTTACGACTCCTTTGCCCCGTGCAGAGAAGGGGTGGAGGCTCCCTCGCACACACTTATTTCGCAATGGGGAGAATGGTACGTCTTGGCTGGTCTTTAGCTTTTACCGGAATGATTCTGTTGTAGTTACCGGGCGCACAAAGGTCCCTGCAATCTTCGTTTGCAAAAAGTCTCCGCTTGCCAAAAGAGCGCGCTTTTCAGGCACAACAAAGCAATAACATAGATGCTTATATGCGTTCATCTGTACCTGTGAGCAGGTTTCGTGCGTTATTTGTGCGTAAGAAATGCGGAAAACGTTTCAATTTGCTGGCTATTGTGCATGTGACATTCCTATTTGTTGCTATTGCGTTCACTTTTTCTTTGGTGTGTCCACCATGTATAGAATGAACAGTACGCTGCGATGGGGAACACCATAATGGGATCGTAGTGTCCATGGTATTTATTTCGCGCGAGAAAAATGAAGCTATCAACAGTGACTGTCGGGCAGATATGCGGATTCAACTCAATAAAACAATCGGGAACGAGATCAGAATGGCTGTAGGTCAAGATAACGTGACTGTGCTCCTTCTCAATGACACTCTTTACATGAAGTGGCACTCACTCGCCGTCGCAGAAGTGCACGCGTGAAGCATCCAACACCACCTAATACTTCGTCATGTCTTCAGGGGCAGGAAAAACTTCGCTCATTATATTTTTTATTTTATTTATAACATACTGCAGACCAGAATTCAGTCCTTGCACGAAGGGCACTCATTGTACACCAAATAAAGAAATACAATACCAAAATATCAATACTGTTAGTACAAGATATGCGCAAATATTTACAATCATTTTAGTAAAGGCACTCAGACAGCATTCTATAAAAAATATGAAATGCAGTACTGTAGATACAAGAGAAGTAAGTTAAATGAAGTAAAAGATACGAAATGGAAACACAACATCTAACGCGTGTATTATGGTAAAAAAGGGTCATTCACTATATGCCCAGAATTTTATCCAACATACAAAATAAAAACACAAAATACAAAAAACATACGAAATCAAAACACAACCCTAACTCGAGTATTGTGGTAACTTAAAGGTCATTCATTTCATGCCTAGAGTTGCACTTCGACACTGTCCTGGGAAAAAATGAGTGTTTGTAAATATCTGTCCTAGCGAAATGAGGGGTTAAAGCATGTGTGTGATCGTGACGTGTACGCCTTGTGGACAGAGGTGTTACATATAATGCGGGGTCGACGAATAATTCACGTTTATTGAGTGATTGTAGGAAATTAAGGCGGAGAATCTGCCTACGTGTTTCGAGGAGGCGGATGTCATTTTCTGTCTTCAGCTGTGTGGGGAATCGGTGTGCTTGAACTTAGAGTAAATGAAGCGAACAGCTCTTCTCTGGACTTTCTCTATTATTTAAATGTTGTGTTTAGTGTAGGGATCCCATGCAATGCAAGCATACTCTAACTTCGGTCTAATGAAAGTAATGTAACTCGCTTGTTTATTATGGGCGGGTGAATTTCTAAGCTTGTGTTTCAGGAAACAAAGTTTACGGAAAGCTGAGGAACATATATTACTAATATGCAAATTCCACGAAAGGTTGTTCGAAAATGTTACTAACAGGTATATAAAGTTTTCAACTTCTTTTAGTGGTGAGGCGGCCAGCCTGTAGATGTATTTTAACGGGCTTTTTTTCCTTGTGATACGAAGACCGACAGTTTTTTTTTTGTTTAAAACATGCCTGATCTGTCGCACTATGCCTGCATGTTATGCAAACTAATCTCGAGGTCGGTTTGGTTATGCACTGTAGTTATTTTCTGATATAAAACACAATCGTCTGCAAATAATCTGATTTGTGTGCCGGGTGTAACAACGTTGACAATGTCATTTATATAGACCAAAAACAACAATGGCCCCAGGTCGCTACCTTGGGGTACTCCAGATGTCACTGGAAGACAGCTCGAGTTGTTGCCCTCAATAGTGACAAACTGCACGTGATCCGAAAGTTAAGCTGCTATCCAGGATACTATAATGCTAGGAAGATTGTAATCTCTGAGTTTTTGTATAAGTTTACAGTGAACTACTCTATCGAAGGCCTTGCTAAAGTCTAAAAAAAGAGCGTCCATTTGACCTATATTATCCAATGTTCTTGCAAAACAATTAATTACAGTTAACAGTTGTGTCGTAGTGGAGTAGTCTTTTGTAAAGCCATGCTGGCAGTTCATTAACACTGAATTTCTGTATAAAAATTTGGTCATGTAGTTGGCGATGATATGCTCCATTAGTTTACAGCAGGATGAAGTTAAATATATCGGTCGATATTTTTCTACAGATAAAGGATTGCCCTTTTTAAAAATTGGCACTACCCGAGCTGTCCTCCAGCCTTTGGGCACCTCAGTAGACAACAAAGCTCTGAACAGTATAAAAAGAAGTCTACCGAAACATTCTGCATAGCGCTTAAGAAATATATTTAGTATACCATCTGGGCCACATGGTTTCGTTGTCTTCAAGTTTAAAAGCATTGACAAAATACCATTGTGTGAAATAAAGTCCACTTCGTGTGGCTCAAAAACAGTAGAATGAAACACGTTACCTATACCTGTCTGGGAATAAGCGCTGTGGAAGTAAGTGTTAAAATGTTCGACAATTTTATTCACGTCTTTTGTAGTGGTTCCATCGAACATTATCCCACAGACAGGTCTCTTAGCTTTCGCCTAAATATCCCCAAAATTTTTCGGGTGCACTTTTCACGAAACCAGGTAGCTGCACGTTGAAGTAGTATTCCTTTGAACTTCGAACCGCTGATGACAATTTGCTTTTTGTGACACTGATAGGTTGGGGCGGGTCACCTTTCTTTTTACTTTTTTTAGTTTGCGCTTCAGTTGCAATATGTTACGCGTCATCCACGGCGTTTGTTTATTGACCGTCTTTGTTTTGTTAGACACAAACGTATTTATGCAGTGGCGACACAATTTGAGGAACATTTCTAAGAGCAAGAATACGTTGTTGTCAGTATCAGTGAAGTCACCACGGCACGTTTCCATGTA